GGAAGAAAGGAAAGGAAGGAAGGAGAAGGAAGGAAGGAAGGAAAGAAAGAAGGAAGGAGAAGGAAGGAAGGAAGGAAGGAAGGAAGGAAGGAAGGAAGGAAAGGAAGAAAGGGAAGGAAGGAAGGAAAGAAGGAAGGAAGGAAGGAAGGAAAGAAAGAAAGAAAGAAGGGAAGGAAGGAATGGAAGGAAGGAAGGAAAGAAGGAAGGAAGGAAAGGAAGGAAGGAAAGAAGGAAGGAAGGAAGGAGCAAAATTCTCACCCTGCAGTGTCTATAAAAAGAGGAAGGACTGGAACCCCTTTTAGGAGAGTCATCCCCTTCTGGCTCCTTCTCCCTCGCTTTGCTAAGCGATCGGTCTGTTTCCTTCTTTTTAGCTTTATTATAGGTTCCGGCTACAAGATTCTTCCCTCCGTCTTTTTTTAATACTTCCCCTTTCTCCCCTCCTTCGGCTTAAATGGAGAGAGGAAAGGTGTAGGGGCAGGGGCTCTTCCGGCAGCGCTTGCCTTGGAAAAGGGAGGGGAGTGGGGGGGGTCTTTGAAAACCACGAAGTCAAGATTGGCTGGGGGGGGCCAGCCCTAGAGGAGAAGCCCATTCCAGGGTGGGGGTTTTTTTTTTTGTTTTTTTTTAGAATAAATTTTTATTGATTTTTCATTAAAAAACATAAACATAAATCTTTTATCACAATATCAACCAAAAAAAGAATCAACACTAATCAATACATTCACGGACGTGTCCGGTGTCCCCCACCCGCACCACCCTCTCACCTGCCTACACCTTCCTCCTCCCATCCTACCGCCACTCCTCCTTCCTCCCTCTTTCCTACCTCCCTTTCTCCCTCAACCATCCCGTCAGTGCAGTTGGGGTATCACCGGGCACCTCCTTAAAAAAATCATACATATATATATATACATATAAATCTATAATACCAACCTAACCCTTTCCCCCCTCCCCCCCCCAGGACTTCCCAAAGCTAATCTAGGAAATAAATGCACAATCATCCAATTCTGATCAAAACTACTCATTATTACTACACACTAGTACAAAATTACTGTGACTCTAAAATAACATTATTATAACAAAACAAAAAAAAATATTTTTTTAGTTATATTATATAATATACCTATTTTTATTCTAAGTTTTTAATCAAAAGCTACATAATAATTTTTCAGTTCATACTTTCTCTGAATATAATCTATCCATCTTCTCCACGTTGAGATAAATTTCTCCTGAGAATGATCCTTCAGGTACGCGGATATTTTTGCCATCTCTGCGAAATACGATACTTTCTGTCTCCAATCATCCATAGTTGGTAATGTCTTTTTTTTTCCAATTTTGAGCAACTAAGGTCCTTGCCGCTGTTATACAATACAACATCAGTGTCATTTCTTTTTGATCCAAGTTATCCATGATACCCAATAGAAATAACTGCGGTGTACAGGGTGGTTTTGGTTGGCGTTGCGGCGGCGCATTCACTCTCGTTTTTTTTCTGTCCTCCAGGTGAGCCTGCAATTCACTGAGCTCGAAGGCTTGCCCGGCAGCAACATCAACCTCCACCTTTCCGCTGCCCAGAACTCCCTCTGCGCCCTCCGGGCGGTTGACGAGAGCGTCTTCCTCCTGAAGCCTGAAGCTGAGCTCTCTCCTCAAAAGGTGAGGCCAAGTTGCCTTCCAGGTCTTGGCAGGCTGTGAATCCTCGAGCCCTCCGGCGGTGGCCTCTCAGTAACAGAGGTGGAAGGGACCTTGGAGGTCATCTAGCCCAGCCCCCTCCTCAAACAGGAGTCTCTTTTACCATTCTTGGACAAATGGCTGTCCGGTCTCCGGTGAAGGTTGGATTAAAAAAAACTCCAGGGATGGAGGACCCACGACTTCTGGAGGCAAGCCGTTCCGCTGGCTAACTGTTTTCAAAGTCTCTTCCCAGAGGTGGACTGAATTGCCGGTCACTCTCCATCGGAGCAGGGGGAACCTCCCCTGAATTTCCCCTTAGAACAATTTGGCTGCTGTGCTGTAGAACAGCTGCATGGAGTCCCAGAGGCATTCTTGGCCATCAAAAGGCGGGGAAGGAAGGAAGGAAGGAAGGAAGGAAAGGAAAGGAAAGGAAGGAAGGAAGGAAGGAAGGAAGGAAAGGAANAAAAGTGATGAAGTACATGTAGTCCTCGACTTACAACAGTTCACTTAGTGACTGTTCGAAGTTACAATGGCACTGAAAAAAGTGCCCCCCCCAAGGCACAGCCGAGCAAGAGACCTGCCTGCCTACCAGGTGGCGCTCTTCCTCCTGTCCGAGGTTTTCATTGTTGTGAGCATTTCTGTTGAGGATTGGCAGCGGGGGGTGGGGGTGGGGGGGTGTTTGGTTTTTATTCCCCCCCCCCGTCTGCTGGGTGGTTGCAGCAGGTTTTGGTCACTTCACATAACCCTGGGACACTGTGACCGTCATAAATATGAATCAGTTGCCAAGCATCTGAACGTAAATCACAAGACCCTGGAGATGCTGCAACATTCCAGCTGATCGGCGCTTCTTCAGGGCTCAGCAGAAGCACCAGAATCAGCGCAGAGCTTCAGCTGGAGCCTGGCGCTGATCCTGGCTCTTCCACTGAGCCCTGACAGCCCCGAAGAAGCGCCGATCAGCTGGAGCCTGGCGCTGATCCTGGCGCTTCCGCTAAGCCTTGACAGCCCTGCAGCTCCAGCCATCTCTCGCTCAGGCTTGTGCGGTGCTGCCACCGGTTCAGCCCATTCCCTTCCCCCGCTACCACTTTTCTAGGATGGTCGCGTACCACCTGCCAGGTGCCAATGTACCACAGGTGGTACCCGTACCACTGGTTGAAAAGCCCTGATCTAGTCCGACCCCCTGCTCAGGCAGGAAACCCCATTCCGTGCTGGACAAATGGCTCTTCTTGGAAACCTCCAGTGATGGAGCACCCACAGCCTCTGGAGGCCAGTGAACCAAGGGGAACCAAGGAAAAGGCGAGTTTTTCTCAGGAGAGCCCAACCAGACCACCTGCACGGGTGTTCTTGGCCGTGCAGGGGAGGAGCCTAAAGGAGGCCGCTGATCCACAGGGCTTCCATTGGCCCCCTGCAGAGTCGCCCGTCTCATCTGGCTGGAAGACCCTGCCTCCGTAGGCGGTTCTCCTGCAGCTGCCAGAAAGACTGGACACCCTTGTCTGTGTGGCCTTTGCTTGTGGGAATAACAACTTTTGGGGAGGCTGATTGCCCATTTCACAAAAAAAGGAGGAAGGAAGGAAAGAAAGAAAGAAGGAAAGGAAGAAGGAAAGGAAGGAAGGAAGGAAGGAAAGGAAAGGAAAGGAAGGAAGGAAGGAAGGGAAGGAAGGGAGGAAGGGAGGAAGGAAGGAAGGAAGGAAGGAAGGAAGGAAGGAAGGAGGGAGGGAGGGAGGGAGGAAGGAAGGAAGAAGG